TTTCACCCAGACATCCGCTCAATACTCGACCCGGGTGATCAATGACTATAATGAGACGACGATTCTGTCTATGCAGCACTTCTAAATGATGTGAGTAACTGCTCTTCCACATCTATTTTTCCATGCTCGATTACAATCTCAAGTATCGGACAGAATCGTGCAAACCGTAGATTGCTAACGGTTTAGCACAGAACATAGGCTCGTTTCAATCGAGGGAGGGGAAACCTGTGGAATCATATAACAATGTATTGAAGCATGTAGAATCGAATTTTGAAATAGTTAAACTTTTCGCACACCTTCCATCATCTGTGTAACAGTGCTTCCAAGGGTGGGGATCTGGCCCGTCATAGATCGGCGCCCCAACAAATAAGCCCACTCTAGGACCGAAGAGTGATCATTGTCTAATTCGTTTCCCTTTGATACGACGGATATGTAGATGTGATTCAAAGATGTGATTTCAAAGTAAACTGATTTTTAATAGCGGACAACAACTAACTGAGTTTTGCTATTTTTCGTCAGTCTATTCACATTACTATTACGGTGAGAGAATGCTATAGCAAACACTCGGTCGATTGAGTCGGTACCGGTTTAATTCATCGGCCGGGGTCCTGATTGGCTGCCTTTCTGTCTGATCTATTTCTACCGGTGGACTGCACACATCAATCATTTAAAAAGTTCATAGAGTGACTTGTCGTTTTGCTTAGTTTCGTTGTTCCTGTTTTTGCTTTTCAATCGTAGTATTTCGAAATTAGAAACCGGTTCGTTTGCAGCATTACCCAACCGCCGGTAGACCCTTGGTGAATATCACTCTCCGTTACGAATCACTACTAACCCCATTTGTCAGTTTGTACGGTTTCAAATTGATTGGGTGTAGTTTTTACTGATAACTAGTCGACGAAGACTAGGAGAGAAAAATACAATATTTTTAGTTGACGGGAAGTTCTGTAACTTTTTCCCCCTTTCTCTGTTGATTATTTTACCTCTTTCCGCACGTTCCCATACATACACCCCACTGGCATCAATGTACACGGTGCATGAATGAAATTCATCAACTTGTGACACTCGGACACATCTCGGGTTTTACATTGATCTCCCCGTATTCAGGAAGAAGATCTAATGGAGGAAAATGATCCGTTGGCCGCTCAGTATCTCAAATTGGAAGTGGAATATATTTATAGTCTTCAAGTGAGTTGCCCCACATTATGTGTATATATAGTCTATAATCCTGATTAGCTAATAATGACACTGTGGTATGCGCGTATCGTAACTATGTTACTCTCTACAAACCCTATGTTGTTCTACGGTATACCTGATTAGTATCTCCTTATTCTGGGTTTACGGCTAGCAGGCGTGGTTGCAGTTTATCACAGAAATACAGCATGGTACTTTGGGACTAAAAGGCTATCCTACAGAATATATATCCTGATGACATCTTTTGATAATTGAAGCAGCATAAACTGCGGTAGCTTTGTACCCCACACCACATTACTGCCGTTTTCATTCACATGAACGAATACTTTTAAGCGGGATGGATACCGGAGATAAACCACACCCGAGAGAGAGTGGAAATTGCAAAACCATTTTCTCAAACGAGTTTAGCTTCCAGAACACTTTATAATATATATCTTCTCTGGCAAAATTTGATATTGTTTTACTTCCCGCTGTCTTCCGTGAAGACAGGGTATTCCGATCAACAAGTGAATAGATTAAAAACTTGGTGACAATAGTAAGGGTCCTCAGGAGGAAGTGAACTGCATGGTTTTTGTTTGGATTTCTCATCGTCTGATGTTCTTTAACGAGTCAACCGCTTATGAGCCACCGACCTGCTTGCTGCGGGTGCGATCTGCATCAAAGATATGCAGCTAATAAGAAATTCAATCCGAACGTGCCACAAACTATTGCCGTAACACTATTTTGATGAGAAATTGTCCATTGGCTTTACTCGCCTCGTCCTCGTCAAAAACCATCCAATCTGGATCTAGCGGTTCAAACTCATCATAAACAGGCGTCAGCGCTACAGACTTAGAGGTATTGACCACCATCAGCATATCATCTGCAAAGCACACGCGTTCGTACCTCATTACTGCCGCTGCCGCCAACTTCCTCACTTCTGTGTGTTCCCAGGAAGGTGTGTACGTGGTTCGTACGCCTCTATTTGGTTGGTTTGAAACAAGGGTTTTTAGCCAACTCTCCCGCGTGAACTGCCGGTGGTTAACCGACCTGATTTCGACCCCAAATATTGGCTTTTCGTCCTGTAACTTTAGTGGGAAAACACCTCGACCACGAGAAGGCAGTAAGCAGGACTCCCTTGGCAGAAGCTTGCTGGTACACCCAACCCCGGCAATGCTGAGGCTTTCGGAGATAGCTGTGAACCGACTGGAAATCCCTTTCTGAAAACTGATGGTATCATTGGATATTAAGTAATGAAAAAGTAAAATATAACGCTAACAGTGAACGACGAACCAAATGAAAGCTTTCGACGATTATACTGATAGCTCACTTGGTTCATAAGGTACACGAAACTGGGACCAATCCCAGGGCAAGGGACATCCTCGGTGTTTCTACTGAGAGGTCTTAATTATGGAGTAATATCGGTTTATTACTTGGTAGCGGTTTTCTCAGTAGTGGAAAAATATTTGGAGTTCCAGGAATGACATCTCTTTACCATGAACAAAATACTCTTTTGAGCTATTCTTTTTAACCTATGAGCATGTTGTACATTTGTATATCCCACTATAAATAGTATATGAGCGATCAGTCAAATACTTCTTCAAAATCGATTTCTCAGTTGCTTCCCCGATCCAGGTTTTGACTTATCCAATGACGATTTTTCAGCAGGCATATTTATTAGTACCAGTGCTGTGTAATTTCATTCACGTTTTACTCACTGTAAGTTATTTGATGAGGGGCTTTGATTGTAGCTGATCGATAACACACAAGGTCTGGTTTCGTTGCAGTCAGACTAATAACTAACTGACTATCAGGGGAAATCGCATCCAAGCAAACTAGGGATAATTTCGATCAGCCAAGACATGGACTGATCGACAAAAAACGGCATCGTGTATTATGTCATATTTCACTTGTGACTGAGTGCAGTGTCTGGTGGACAAATCACAGTACACGGATCGTTATAACAAAAGCAGTTGAACTCTTTGAGGAATTCGCAACCGCAGCCCTTGGATTGTTAAAGCCTGAATCGCAAGGAGGCGGGCAATCTGTGAAGACTGCATTCCATTCGGGTCCAGTGTTCAACTCAACGGATCATTGGGATGAGATGAAACGTTCAAGTTGCCCAATACTCCTCAATGATCATCTGAATTAATGGCCACAGCCACAACCAGATAGATGTAAGCGTGGCTTTTACCCCCTTTCTAGGTTGGTTTGGACTCAGGTTTTTAGCCAACTCTCCTAGATGAATTGTTACTGGCTAACTGACCAGCATTTAGTTCCGGATGTTGGTTTTTCGTCCTTTCACTCTGATGGGAAAACGCCTACGTCACGGGAACGTACATTCAGACGTGTGTGGTCTGCTTTCATGGTGTCCGGTAAGAATCCCTTTGTATAACATCACTTGGGGTGGTGATGAAAGGGTATATCGCCATTCTAGAAACTCAGGGGTGATTTCTGTTCTGTCATTGGCTTCAATTGCTCATCCTGATGTTTTAGGTGATTTGAACCAATCAATGATACTTATATTCCACTTTTCGCAAGACAAAGTAGTTCTTTTTGCTGTAACACATCCAAAGACACCTTAGTGGCAATGATGTCCTTTCGTTTATATACTCTTTTCCCGTCGACCAACAAAGTCAAGTTAAAAATCGCTTTATTCATCCTAATGGATGGATTCTCAGCTTCTCGCACTCCAGGAACATTTATCGTCGCATACAGTCACAAAATAGTGAGAAAAAAAGCATCGTCAATTCAAAGAAATGCGTAGTAAAAAGTTTGAAAATGAAAATCAGTTGCATAGGAATTTCAAAACTTCTTCTCTAACGGATGCTTTTTGAGCCAGAAATCTCGAAAGATAGGGGACGACGGACAAACGATAGGCAGTGGTACGAGCGTACACCAGTTTATAACGACATCTTGTGACGGAAGTGGATATGCATTGTTTAAGTTGTGTGTAATGGATGAGTGGTGTCTGAAAGAATATTGTTACAGAAGTTATCGCAAGAGGTAAAATGTATATCAGCGATAAAGTTAAGCAAGTGCAAATAAGGAATACCGCTTGTGCGAGAAATAATTTTAATTGACCGGCGTAGAATTGTGTAATCTTTAGCTCTGAGACCGGCAAATAAAACCGGGGAGCAGTAGAGAAGAGGAGCAACAACACAAGAATTTACAAATCGAGTGAGTAAATGCAGTGGAACTTTTAAAGAATGCAAGTGGGTAATAAGGAAACACAACCGTCGAAATTTTAAGGCAGATAAACTGGTTTGAAGATGTGAGAAGCGTAAATCACCTTGGAATTTGGAACTTATTGTGACATCATTAGCATACTTAATAAGAAGATCATTTGGGTTAGTGGGAAGGTCACGAATATAGAAAGATAAAAGAAAGGGGGACAGAATTGCTCCCTGGAGCACCCCTGAGTTGACTGGTAGGAAGTCAGAGGTTTTTCCAAGAAACTTTGTGAATTGCTTTCTGCCAGCAAAATAATCCTGGAGTAGAGAGAGAGAGCATTATTGGACAATCCAGCACCTTGGAGTAGAGACAAAAGCCTGCTCCTGTCAACACAGTTAAAAGCATTACTATAGTCGAGGAAACACACGAAAAGCCCTGCCGTGCATGTCTAGGGATCGTAAAACTGAGTTTACCAAATAAGCGAGAGCATCTAAGGTAGAACGTTGTTTGCGGTAAGCGAATTGGTTTTCATCTAGCTGCCCAGTATTGGGAATAATGTTACTGAGCATGTTACTGAGCTTTTCGAAAATCTTTAGTAAAATAGAAGTGTACGCGATTGGTCGTAGTTTGACAGCTTCTTTCTTGGGGACTGGTGTGATGCGCACAGGTCTCCAGCAGTCGACAATTTTTTGTTCTTCGAAGCAGCGGTTGAAAATACCCGCAAGTGGCTCCGCCAGATAATGCGCACATTCCCTGAGGACGACTGGACACAGCCGTCAGGACCGGAAGCTTTTGATATTTTTAGGCACTTCAGCTGTGCACGCACCTGATTGGAATTGACACGTGAAATTTCACGATGTTCAACTGATTGGAAATAAGGATGCGATACTTCAGTTTCAGTCGACGTGGAAAACATGCAGTTGAGTTCATCTGTTGTGGGTTGGGGCCCGCGTAGTCTGACTTTTGTTCCACAAAGGTTTTTTCATAGCGCTTCAGATTTGCTTGCAATTACGGTCACGAAGAAGGGTTTCAGTGTAGAGTTTGTCAAGATTTGTGATCTCATTCTTAATCAGCACTGACGTTCGTTTAACCAAAGGTCGATCACAATTTTTATATGCCCATTCCTTGGTTCTTCTGAGGGTCTTCAAAGTGGGAGGAAAAAATCTGGCGGGATTGATGTATATAGGGAATATGGGGCAGCAGATGTCAAAGCAGAAGTTCAAATAGCTCGTGAGATGTTTACACTCGATCGAGACACTGGGATCAAAGAACTTATCGAAATTTGTACCAGAGACCATTTCTCTCAGTGATGCCAAGTGGGCCGGGTCACAACCTATGAAAAATCTTCTGGCTAGATGTACGTGTCAGTGTGCTATGATGTTTCTTCGAATGGAGTTTTGGTAAAACATTGATGATACAATGATCGGAGTTTGCCAGAGGGGCTCCTCTTCGCACAGTAAACAGGTCAGGATCATTCGAAAACATAAGATCAAGCTGCGCGTTTCCTCTTGTGGAGAAATTTACAATATTGTGGAGAGAGAGACATGTCAAGAAATGAATATCTGCGTGGTTGAAATCGCCACTAACAATAAAAAGAGACCGTTCAGTGTAGTTAGAAAGTTCAGATATAAATACATCAGCAAACATCCGTACATCCGTTGCACTGGAAGGTGCTATGTAAATGTTTGATGCCACAATGAAACGATATTTACTAAGTAAATGGGGTTTACATTTAACCAAAAGACATGAGATATCCTACGTTGTAAGTGAAGATAATCTTTGTAGACTTACACCAAGATGATTTGGTGTAGGTTATTAGACCACCGCCTCGATTTCGTAGT